GTGGGTGAAGACTCAAATGCAATCGAGCCGCGAATGCAGCGAGCCGTTCTTGGGGCGCTGCAGGCACTCGTCAGCTCGTGAACTCAACCATGCCTCCTCCTCCTCAGTGCAGCTGCTCGGGTAACAATAAGCTCGCACCGGGCGGCCCATCAAACCTTTGCTGTCTTGGTCAGCCCATAATGGCGGCGAGCACCCCTCCGACTTCGGAATGGTATCAGCGCAGACCTTGTAGTCGGCCATTGCATGCTTAACGTAAGACGGGTTGCAGCCAAGCGACCGCAAGCAGGCCGTGAAAATCCGCGCGACCTTCGTCAGAAACCGCTGGTGCTGCTTCCGCGCGAATTGAGGGCCCAGAAGCGGCGCAGCCCGGGTTCGGTAGTGTACGCCTGCGACGCCAGGTCTTGCGCTTCCTCTTGCCATCCTCTCTGTTTGACGAGGTCGGCGGGGAACTCCTCGTGGCTCGCCTTCGCCCTGCGCGTCTTGTGAGACGTCTTGAAGACCTCGGCCTCGCTCGAATCAACAAGCAAGCCAGCCGAACTGTTGCGTTGCCCGTCGTCGCCGTGATGCGCCTGGTGCCGGGCCGGGTGCATCTGGCAGATCTCGTCCACTGTGCTGCCTCGCGAGCGCGGAGAAGGCGGAGTCCGAGTCCCGCGTGAACGCGCTCGTGGGCGATCGCGTCCATGTTAAACGAACCTTTCTTGGCCGCCATGGGACTCTCGATCACCTGCGTGCCTCAGGGGAGGTCAGGGCCGGGCTCGATCAGGAGGCTGCTTGGCCTTCCTCTGGCGGCGCGCGCATCGCGGTGGTCTGAACGATGCTCTGGCCAGGCGGCGGCTCCAAATCCTTGCAGCGTGAAACCTGCGGAAGGGTGCGGGTGGCTGGGTCGTCTCTCGCCAGGGAGGGCCCTCAAGAGGCGAACTCCAAGCGGACGAAAGTCGATCTGGTCGACGTCAGAGACTAAGCCGCACCGCTCTAAAATCGAGTACCCGATCAGCAAATCCTCCGCGCAGTGCGTCTCGTCGAAGAACCCCGTCGGAATCGCATCGGTCTTCGTCTCGCCAACTTCGCGGAAACTGATCCCTGGCGTCGCCGACCGGTGCGCCGTCGCAGTCGGGCCCTGCTCGAATGATTTGCAAATGTCAACTGGGTTTGAGCCGCGTCTTTGAACAACGCTTCCAATGGGGCCGTGGTCGGTGGAGCTCCGGGTCGCGCCAGTGTCGAAGGCGGAATCGGTGCGAGCGGGTCCGATCCAGGTAAAGCATCTGCAAGTGTAGCCGCCAGAGACGGTTCCCTTGTAGTGAGAAGAGTAGTTGAGAGCACCAGCCCTGCGCGCGAACTCGTGATTGACAGCAGTGGCCATCAATGGAGAATTGGCACAGTGCGCACCGGCTTCGAGCCCGAAAGCAAAGATGCCCGCCGCAACCGTCAGAGCCAAGAAACCCATCAACAACGGTCTTGACCAAATGTCGCACGTGGCTCGCGGTGCGCGCTGGTCAACCGCGTGCCGGCGTCGGCTTCCACGCAACGGAATCGAACTCGTGGTACTCGGCCATATTGATGCGCGACCCCCCAGCTTTGCCTCGCCCGAAGTCTCCTCGTCGGCGTCCATCACCATGGACGTGAGCAGCCTGGCAGCGCGGTCGGCGCGCCCCGTCGCCGCGGCATCCTTTCGAATTGCCCTTGTCGCCTCCCTTCTCGGCCTTCTTCAAGAACTCCTGGGCCTCTTTCGCGCCCATCTTTGAATGGCAATTTCGTGGTGGCGGCCCAAGTGCCCGAGGCCTCCGCGAAGTTTCTCCTTGCTCAAGTGCCTGTGCCAGAGCGGAATGCTGTCTTGGGCGCGCTTCAAGACGTAGAAGCCCTGCTCCTTGCTGGCATTGTGAATCGGACACAAGAGGCGCTGAAGGTGCGCGCCCTTGCGCCGGCCGCAGCCGCCAGTGCATGCGCGCGCGCTCTCGTCGCCCCCCTGTCGGGCTGCCGCGCGGCTTGCAAACGGGCGCCCGACTGCCGGGCAGTCGGCGTCGGCGGCGGCAGCGCGCCCGCCGAGGAGCCAGCCACAGAGATCGACTCGATGATCTTTTTGGCCTTGGCTTGGTGCGTGGCATCGAACCAGTGCCTCTACGCGTGGTCTTTTTGGAAGCATTCAACATGCCGTGAGCAGCGACGTCATCGGCCTGCCAGCAACACCGCCGCCAACGCAAGCGACCATATTCAAGGAAACGCTGGCAATGCACGCCCAGTCGCCCAGCCGAGCTGAAGGACCCACCGCAGCTGGCTTCATGACATCTTCTAAGATGGTTGCCGCGTGAACTCCAGGCGCTTCGCCTTCTTGCTGCGTTGCCGCTGTTTTTCGATTGTTTTGCTCCTGCGCGTGGCCCCGCCGACGCGGTGGTTATTGGTGGATCGACGGCTTCGACGCGCAACGTTTCTTCTGCCCGTCCTAGACCACCTGGGCCGACAGGCCGCGAGTCGCCGCGGGGTTCAGAGCGGGCCGAAGCAGGCCTAATATGGTTGCGGACGCCGCGCAAGATTACCATTGACGATGGAATGCAGTGCGGGCCCGAGAAGCCCCAGGTCCCCTGCGAGATGGCCCCTGGGCTTCCCCCAGGGCAGCCAATGATCATTGCGTGACTCTGGCATTCGTGCCCCGGCAATTTTCGACGGGCCTCTCGGGCCCCAGCGCGACCCCGCATGGCTTGACGCAACCGCTGGATTAATGTGCAATGCTCATGGCCCCCCCAAAATGCCGCAAACGTCCCCCGGGAAGCGCGTTCAGGAGCGAGCGATGCTTCCCGGGAGGCCCAGGATGCCCCCTGGGCGGTCCAAAGTCTGCTGGGGTGCCCGAAAGCCTTCGCAAACCCGAGGGCCAGGGGGGGGCTTCTCAGGAAGCCTGGGCGCATCTCCAGAGCATCGAGGTAAACCACCAGGAGGCCCAGGAGGATCGGCGGGGGGGCCCAAAAGGGACCTCGGGGAGCCCACCTGGGCCTCCCAAAGCCAGCCCTGTACGGGAATGTAAAAGCCAGACGCGCGCCCTGTGGGGTAAATGTTCCTACCCCCGCGAGTGCGTCGCAAAAACGGACCCCGTGCCCAACAATGTGGGCGGGGATGCAGCCGCGCGCAATTGTCAGAAGGAGGGGGCCCAATGGTCATTCATTATCCCTGGGTGCGTGGCTGCTTAGGGAATTCGTGGTGAGAATGCTGCTTGTTGCGTTGTTGTTGTCGTTGCCGTTGTCGTTGTCGTTGTCGTTGCTGTTGTTGTTGTTGCTGCTGCTGCTGCTGTTGTTGTTGTTGTTGTTGTTGTTGTTATTGTTATTGTTATTGTTATTGTTATTGCTATTGTTGTTTGTTGTTTGTTGTTTGTTGTTTGTTGTTTGTTGTTTGTTGTTTGTTGTTTGTTGTTGTTGTTGTTGTTGTTGTTGTTGTTGTTGTTGTTGTTGTTGTTGTTGTTGTTGTTGTTGTTGTTGTTTGTTGTCGTCGTCCCACTCGCGGCCCGCACGCGACCCGCCCCGCGACCAGCCCCGCGACCCACCCCGCGACCCACCCGCGACCCAACCCGCGACCCACCTGCGACCCGCTCCGCGACCCACCCGCGACCCACCCGCGACCCACCCGCGAACCACCCTGCGACCCGCCCGCGACCCAGCCCGCGACCCATCCGCGACCCACCCGCAACCCAACCCGCGACCCACCCGCGACCCATCCGCGACCCATCCGCGACACACCCTCAAAGGAGAAAAAACCACACGGACCCGATACAGTGACGTTTATCAAACGGCCCTGGGCGTTTACTAGACAACCTTGCCCTGTTCGATTCATTCCACGTGTGCGTTTACTAGACGGCTTCGCTTGTCGGGGTGGTTATTATGGGGTGAATTTTCTGCCCTCTACACCCGCGACCAATCCGCGACCCGCCTGCGATCCACCCGCGACCCGCCCGCGTTGGTTGAACGAAAAAATCGGCGCCTGCGGCGGTTTTGCGTCATTCGCCAAGTTTTGGCGCCTGCGGCGGGCTTCTCCAGAGTCTCGCAAACTGCCGGCACCCCCACCGCTCCCTCACTCCTATCCGCATTCATCTGCGGGGTGCTACGTATGGAAGCACATTCTGACTTGGCCCGAAGGCCTCGCAGGGGTCTCTCTGGTGCCCCAGGGGCAATTCCCGGGGCCTCAAGAGCTTGTCCAAAGACCCGCGAGGCCTCTGAGGTGGTCGAGGAGCCCCGTCAGCGGGCCCAGGGGCCCTCTGTGAGGACGCCCAGGAGGCACTCTCAGAGAGCCACATCAGCTTATCGGGGGGGGGACCCCAATGCCTCCCAGGGAGGCCCTCGTGACCCTGTCAGGAAGCCGAGGGAACTTCCGCATATGCCGAAGACGTCTGCCAAAACCCTCGGGAACCCCGGGGCCCCGTCGGAAAACGAAGAAGCCTCTCAACCAGCCCAAAACATCTTTCAGGGGGCCTAGGGGGGTGTTGGGGGTTTCTCCGAAACCCCGCGACGCCTCTCATGAGGCTCCAGAGACCCCTCGGTTGGCCCAAGAGACTTCCCACCAATTCCTGACAGAAGAAACCTCACGGTAGGGAACGCCCGCGCGCTGGATGGCCGCGCGCGCGCGGGGTCAGAAGGATCGCGAGAAGGACAAAACGGTGGGCCAGGGAGAAATATAGTGGAGTGTAGGGGCCTGTTCCCTCCCGTGCCCCCCATTCGCCCCATTTGTGTTGCCCCGCCCCTCCCTTCGCCTATCGCTCAAGCTCAATATGTTTTGCGCCCCCGCCCCCCTCTCCTCTCCGCGCTCCGACTCGCGCGACGAAGAACCCGATCGCGAAGCCAAGCCCCGACGCTGCGCGGCAAGCCGGGGCGCCGGAAGCGCCCCGATACCCTGCCCCCACAAGCGCGGACCCACTGCCAAATTCAGGCTACATGGAAGTGCGCGGCAAGACAGGTTGCCATGCAACCGCGGCTCACTTGATTGAAACAAGCCGTATGTGGGGTCGGGGGTTCGATGCTGACCGCCGCTTGGCTTGCTTATCCAGCTCCAACTTCTCGCGCCCCTTCTTCGCTGCCGTCTTTGCCTTCGGGTCCTTGGGGCCCGCCGCGGCGTCGGTCCAAGTCGATTCCTGCCCCTGCTTAGCGTTGGCGGCCCCCTGGCTGGCGCGCGCGCCGGTGCGCGCGAACAACGGGCAACGGCCGAGAATTGCTGCGCCGGAATCCTCGCCGCCCTTGTTGGCCATGCGCCTCGGGGTCGTCGGGGGGCCCAGGGGGGCGGGGCGTCGTCCGCGAGGGGCTCGTGCTTCAACGTGTCGGTGCGGGAGGCGGTGTGCTCGTTCAAGAATTCGGCAACGGCGTCGATGCTGATGTCCTTGGCGCGCGAGAGCCAAGAGTGCTTCATGGCCGCCTCGCTCGCCGCGTGCTCGTCGTCGCGGTGCGCTGGTGCCGCCGGGCGCCGGGCGTGCGTCGTCCAGATCGCTTCCCACCTGGGAGTGGCGCGCTCATTCGGCAGCGCCGCGCGCGCGTCCTCGCCGCCGAGCATGGTCACGATTAAATCTTCCATTTCGATCTTCGCCGTGCCCTCTGCGATCGCCCGTGCGCCCCCGATCCCAGTGGCCTTGCTGGTCTGGCGCGACTCGCTCTGGTGGCTCCAGAACTTCTCGAGCTGCTGCTCGGGGGTCGCGGCGATAGCGCCTGTCGGGGCGGGCTGCGCGGTGCTCGGCTCCAGGGCGGACTCCAGCTGGGCCTCCGCCGAGTCCTCGTGACCTCGCGCGCGCCCGGCCAACCGCGCGCGTGCTCCTCGGTGCTGGCGTGCTGCTGGCCATTTGCGGCATGGATGCCGATGTCGCTCGGGCAAATCGGCCTACAGGACCCGCCGCTCGGGTTGCGGGTCGCCCCGGGCCTCGGCGGATTGCTGGTCGATCAGCTCCTGGGCAACCGCAGACGGCGAGGCCTTCTCCGCCCGGAGCTCCATGGCCTCGACGTTAACCTCGCCGAGCAGCTCGGCCCGAGCTTCTCCGCGCGTCGATTCCCTTCGGCGTGGTGCAGGGACATGCTGGCGTAGACGCTGACCCTCGCCGAATCGGCGACGCGCTGGCGCGCCAGCTCCGCGCGCTGGGCGGGCTCCACCCGCGCGACGGCGTCGCCTCCGCCGCCGCGGCGATCTGCCTGGCAATGCCGACCTCGTTCGCCTCGCACCAGCGGCTTCGCGAAGCTCTCCGCTGAGTCCGTCGTCGGGTGCTTCGGCCCGAACCGCCGGGCGGCGGCGGGCCAGCTCCGCGATCGTGGACTCCTCCTGGAACGTCCTCCGCTGATCGGCGGCCTATGTTTTCATCTGCGCCGCGTCACCTCGAGACCGGGCGTTGCCCCGCTCGTTGGGCCAGCCCGCCCTGGCGGCGGATCTCCAAATCCGCTTCTTGCCGCTCGTTCTGCAACTGATCGTGGGTCGTGGTGCCGCGCTCGGTTTCGGCGCGCACCTCGACCCCCGCGCGTCCGACAACTGTGGCTTCGGGTCGGAGCGCGGCGTCAACGTCGCCAGCCTTGACCGCCAAAGGGGCTTGGGGGCTGCGGTCGATGCTGTGACCGAACGAATCTCGCCAACCGTGGCGAAAGTAGCGTCGTGTTCGACCACGTGGTGTTTGAGCTCGCCCTGGATGTGCACCGTAGCCGCATGTCGCATGTCGGCGATGCGTTGCTGACGCTTCTGCTGCTCGCTGTTCAAGAAGATCCGAGCAGGGGCAACGTCCTCCGCGAGGCTATCGCGGTGCGCTGCAAGCTCGGCCTCGGCAGCGCGGAACCGAAGGCCCACGGCTGTGTGCACGCTTGAAACCTCTTGCTGAGCCGAGCCACCCACGCAAACCGAGATCTGATTCTTGAGGAAAAGAATATTTCTTGCGCTCGGCGCCGACCTCGGGGGTGCGCATCTCGATCCTCTGGACCTCCAGCGCCGCAGTCTGCTTCAGGCCACCGACCGTCGGGCAATGAAGCGACGGCTGAGACCGCGACAGTGAACCTCTCCGAGAACTCGATCTCGCCAGCCTCGTCCCTTGGTTCGGTGACGGGGCTCTAGCATTCCCACTCCAAATCACCGCCGTCCCCCACGGTGAGAGAGCCAGGAGGGTCCTTCCCCTTTAGCTGCGGCCAAGGGAGCCTGTCGTTCGGGTTCATTCCTTTGGGGAGGACCTGCAGGGGGTGTTGCTGTCGAGAACTCGTTCTCCCACGTGTCCTACTTCAAACGCTCCCCAATGTGTCCACCAACTTCGGAAATCTCTTCTGCTTTTTCAAGCTCGAACTCCGAAAGCTCAACTACTGCTTTCTGGCTAACGGGATGAGGCTCCGGGTATTTCTTGGGATACCGGCCGCCCACACGGCCAGTTTTCGAGTGTTACCGAGTGTTACGCACACGCGCTTGATGTGACGCACGGTGGTAAAATCGAGGGTGCGAGTTCTTTTCGCCACGCGAACTTGCATTCATCTGGCTGTGAAATTTGGGCGACACATATTGCAATACAGTGCTCTACGAAATTCGATGTGTGACGGGACGCGTCGCCGTGTTCTGTCCCGCCAGAGCGCCCTGGAGACGATGGCCGTTGCCATGCACAGCGGCTCGAGTTCAAGGAAAACTTCGTGCTCGAAATACACTCGCAACCTTGTCATACATGATTTCTGCAACGGTGCCCGGGGCTGAACATGAGCTGTAGGAGGGCCCCGGGCCTTACGCAGCGGGAAAATTCCACAATGGAAATCCCAGGCCTTGACTCGCAGCTCCCAGGACCCAGAAGAGACAACGACATCCATATCGCTCTAAGGCGTACCGTATCAAAACACGTGCTGATACGCTTCGTCGGGAATACGGATTTCGTCATATGCGTTGGCCCTCCGAATAGCTCACCGGAAACAGTCGCATGCGCCGATCTTAATTCTGATTACTAGAAAACCCTAGCTGTGACAGGCGTGCTCTTACACAATCGTCTGAAGACCTCTGAAAATAATGCAAATACTGAGGAGGCCAAGGGAAAAGGATATCACTATTGTGTAAAGTGATTCCCACAGCTTCCTTTTGAACTTTTGCCGATTTCGAATGCCTTGTGCATATTCGGTCGGCCTCCCTCCCTCGTTGTCCTCGACCTCCTGTTTTGAGTTTGCTCGGACGTAAGATTTTGCGGCTGCGTGCATTTCACCTGGGTCAACTTACCCACATGGAATCTCGACCCCCGTTGACTGCCAGAAAGAAGCGCGACACAAAACTTCCATCAAAA